GGTTCGACCGAACCCCTAAAAACCCCCCTGGCTACGGGCCTGGCATCCACTATCAGCCTCATCATGGTTGTTTAACAACTTTTTTGCAACTCCGAATGCCCGGAAATAAATACTGACAATTTGTAGAGCCGCTAGCCCCTCCCTTCAAAGAAATAAAATTAGCACGGAGATGGCGTCTATGTTGGAAATATGGTACCTCTGGATGCCTGGAAATACAAGCTGGCAAACCTGTATAACCACCACCCCTCTACATTCTGTCTATTGGCAGACAAAGATTTAAAGTTAGTAGGGACTAGAGATATACCCACCTCTGCCCCATATGTTTTGGGCCAAGGTGAGCAAATTTTGAAACTTAAGGCATCTAAACTAAGTTATTGTTATCAAAATATGTAGTACAATATATACTGTACATCGTACATTTACTAAATTTATCTATATTAAAATATTTGCTCCCAGCGTACACTATATTCCATATTCTAAGTTTCCTGGCATGAATATATCCCCATAGCAGGCTCGAGGGTGTGTGAATAATCTTCATGAGGTACTCTCTCATATATAATACTAATAGGAAGATTTTTTTAAGGGCATCATATTCTTACTGGTATGACTCAAGAAAAAATAGAGATAATAAATGCCTATGCCCTGTACATGATACAGAAAAAAGCATCAAGGTGTAAAATGCTATATCTGGACACACAATGTGGTAGCATTGACGAAATTACAATTCGTAAGATTTTTTTAAATCATGGGAATAGGCAAATGTAGGTCTACTGCGAAAATGATATATTGTTCAAAATGCAATTAAGTTGCTTATTCCTCCATGAATAAGTAAAGTGCAGGAAACACGAATATGACAAGGAATAACAATGATAACTGTAATAATATTATATCTACACGACGTAGAAATATTAAGAGAAATATTAACAATATGCAATTAATTAATTAGGCCTAGAACATGTTCTATGAATACACATGATACAGTATGCTATGAATTATCTATGGAAATACAGTCAGTAGGCCTCCTATGCCTCAAATAACGTCGCGTTTCGACAAACGTACTGTTTACACTTACCAAATTCAGTCTGAAGCATAATCAATTATTTATCACGCTCCAGGTCAGTATCACTTTAATTGTTAAAATGCTGTAATTAAATCCTGTGTTTTCTTCTGGTAGACCTTACAGCGATTACGCTCAGACAGACCATGATACCTCCATGTACAGATCTAACAGGTGATATAGACAGAGCACTAACATTCAAGGGGTATCCAGCTTTTTTTGTAAAAGAGTGGGGAGGGACACAAAGAGCATTAACATTCAAGGGCTATCCAGCTTTTTTTGTAAAAGAGTGGGGAGGAGCACAATGTTATTAAATGTGGCTATTTTTACAAGGGTTCAGTGGTCATACCGTGGAAACTTTGTTTTTATACCTGGATGCCCAGAAAAAATATGAAATAATTATGATGATGATGATGATGATGATGATGATGATGATGATGATGATGATGATGAAGATGAAACTTTGTTTGATTTGGAATCAATGGAAAATAAAGGCCCGGTACGGGTACAGGGAAAAAGCCTGGAGAAAAATCAGTAGTTTAGATTTGGTATAGACTAATTTGGGTTGCTATATTTAGTCTTATAAAATAGTAATACTTCCAGAAAGCAAAGCCATATCTTCCCATTGAGCACGGGGACTAAAAAGCTGGGCAAAAATGTGATGGTTCTGGTTGTAGCGTATAGGCATGTTTGGTATTGATTTAAAATTAGTTATCGTTGCTTTGCATTGCATTGGAATTGTTGATTTTGTCGGGTCGCCAAACC